GATATGAATTACGTTTATTGCTATTATGATCTCACTTAATTCTTATCTTGTTATTAAATTTCATATAAATATTAAATTGTTCGTATTACATAACAAAACTGATTTTTTATATTTAAAATCTTATAAACAAGTAATTAAAAAACTTGCACCTTTAAATAAGTTTAAAAATTTGTTCCCTGAGTGCAATGTTTCACTCTCAAAGTTCTATAGGACGGCTGACGTCACGTTTCATTAAGCCACGTGTCATCAGGAAATCGGTAAAAGAATTATTCAATTAAGCACAAGCATAAAAAATGCATACGCGGTGTAATTCCGTGTGTCTTAGGGAGGATTATAACAAGTTGTTATCCGGGCCATCCGTTACCGTCCGGGTGATATACGGCCGCCGGCGCCGCTCCGCCGGAGAGATATTGCTTTAATTAATACTTCTTTATAAATATGGCTCCTGTGAAAGGCATTGTTAGTACAGCCTTCATTACCAGATTATATTCGAGGCAGGTGACTACTGCATACCGCTTATTATAATGGCAGCCAGGGTTACCCTGTCACTGTTAATAGCCTACATATAAATCAGTTATTTTCCAAATCTATACTCGTAGATTTAAATGCTGAGTGGCCAAATTGCACGAATATAATAAAGAAATAATTAAGTATATTATAAAGACTTTACTTTAATATTTTATTTTATTATTAAGGAATAAGGTATTTTATTTTACTTATCTAGCCCTAACTAAGGACAAATTGAAAACTGACACCGCAAAGGACAGTAAAATACGATAGAACATTATACGAGTACTATAACATCCGGGAAGATTTACGACCAGAGGCTACTACTTGCCTACTATCGAATAGAGAAAAATCGTAAGCACAAACATCTTTCTGTTACACATTCATCTACTTTTATTAATTAAAGATAAATATATTAGAAAAAGAAGAAGCGGACTTTATACATTTTGTTTCACACGGTAACAGTGCTTTTTATTGAATTCGTAAATCAGACGAACGAAGTATAGGATTAGAATTACCTAGTAACGGAGAAACAAGTAATAGATTGAGAAAACAATCAAGAGATAGCATTTCTTACGTTCTGCTCGGAGGCGGTGTATCGGCAAGCCGGATAAATTAATTAATTACGGCAGCATTTCGCTCCGGAAGCTCCGGAGAAGAGTCCGGATGATAGATTTATTTGGTCTCCGTGCACGCTCCTCTCCCGCGTCTTATGACTTATGTATGTCACTAACAATTTCTTAAATAACACCTACTGTGAAGAATTTAGATTAGAATTATGAAAATGTACACACGTCAAATATGAACATGTGTATATAAAATGTAATGTAAACATCAGTGGCAAATATAAGTTTTTCGTATAACGTTTGCTTAGAATTAATGTGCTGTTAGGCTAGACATTTCTTACCTGAACAAACAAAATAAAAGCAAATCATTTACTCAAATATTTATAACGAAGTTGGATCGTTATATGTCAACCATATATATTTATCCTTTTAGGGTTGGTCGAATGACAAAAATGGAACCGATATAGATTTTTCATGTCTATCTGTCCGTCCGTTTGTCACAGACGCTATGATTCGAAATTATTAAGACAACATAGTAGGATTTTTTTAGGTCGATGTATTCTGTGAACTTTAGACGTATTTGATACAAAAATAAAGTATTAGGGGTCCGACTCGTACTTCACCGATTTTTATTTCATAACACATCTTAAAACATGTTTTTGAGGAGCAAAATGAATTGTGCTCTGTACAGATATACATATTTAAGTCGTGTAGAAGAGAAAGAAAAAAATCTTGCTATTTTAAATTTTTATGGAATTGTTTAAGATATTTACATCCATTTTCACTAACGTAGAACAAGGCATAGCTTAACTAGGAAACGCCTAATATTACAAATAAGTATGTTTTTCTGTTATCACTTGATATATTTACGATCTCTCATATGCGAAAATGCCTAGCGAAAGGCGCCGCATAACGAATATCATAATTTTAGACATTGCTTAATTTCTTTAGGTAGTTCTTAGTCAACGGTGAAATACTATTTTGAACTGCCGGCAACAGCGACCAATCTGAGACGGTTCAACATTTGACGGGTGGTAGAATTGGACAGAACCTGTCGGGTTTGTTTACGATTTGATGGTTTGTAGGATTCGGTTATAAACTGTCGGAGAATAATTGGTTGAGTTGTAAATGGTATGTCGATGTTTCTTAACTTAATGTGTTCTTAATAATACTGCGACTGTGATGATGTGTAAGCTCGGTGGCGTAGTGGATAAGCGCCGCGGCCCGCGATCGTAGTCGTTAAGCAACTTTCGCAAGGGTCGGTCACGGGATGGGTGACCAAAAAAATTATTATCTCGAACTACTCCGTGCTTTGGAAGGCACGTTAAGCTGTTAGTCCCTGCTGTATTTGAAATCGTTAATACCCTCCAATCCGCCAGATGGTCATGGCCCAACCTTCTTAACCATCTATGAGGAAGGCCTGAGCCTCTGCAGTGGGGACTTAAAAAGGCTGATTATGATGATGATGTGATGATGAAACTAGTAGCGATTTACTTCAAAGTTATAATCATAGTAGGTACTTATAAAGAAAATCTACTGAATGTGTTCTGTTAATAGAAGTCAGTATCGGTAATAAAACAGGTATATTATAAGTAAAAGCTAATATATTTTACCAACACAATATGAAACGTAAAAATATAATTTTGAATTTGATAAAACTAAAATTTTCAAATAACTTTAATATATTTTTATACAATAACATCGTTACAACGTAAGGATGTACAACATTTGTCAGTGATAGTGATATTTATAAGCGAATTATACTCGTAGTATTGACCTGGCGTGGGTTGGTGATGGTCGATCACTTGGTCCTGGCGGTACCACAGCGCGGGCGTCACCAGGCCCGCGCCGGCGCCGGTCGCCGCGCACGTGAGCGCCGCCACCGCGCCCGCCACCGCGCCCGCGACCGCCCCCGCCGCCGCCACCGTCACCTCCCATCCCGTGTCCGGCACTGCTCACAAACACAGCCGACTTATTATAACGTCCTCGCTCATTATACATACCACAGGAGAAATGAAATACATTTTCTTTATTCTTATAAGCTTATCATAAGCACTTCTGAATTATTCAATATGTTACCTACGAGTACCTTTGATTGACAAGAAAAACAGGTGAGAAACATGTTACTATTATCAAATTCAAATTTATTCTTTTACAAATTTCGAAAAAAAAAGCAATCATGTTTCAATCGATAAGCATGATATATCTTATATTACTTACTCTCCGATATATTTCTAACTATTGTACTGTATTACAATAGATCTTGTACTAAGAAAGAAATGCCAAATTTTTTTACATCGAGAATTTAATTTAAAAAAGGGACCCATTTAGTAAAGATGAATTAAAACTTAAAATAAAAAATAGGTTATTTTATATTTTAGACATTTTATACCGCTTTTTATACATTTTATACGACAATTTATACCAAAAAAACATTTCCATGTGTCGCCAGGCCGAGACTATATGACTCGCACTAACAATAAGTGATCAGACCTCTTGTAGAGCCAAGATTCTTACACTACACTTTGTAACTGTACAAGCCACCGTTCAATGAACATACTAATAAAAAAAAACCAATTATCAATTAAATTTTAAAATAATCTATTGTTTGTGCAAATTATGAAATCGCATCATAACATAATATTTAAATAACTAATATATCTACTTATTATATTTTTTTATACTGTCACATGTATTTTAAATGATTTCATTAGGAACACAAGCTTTCCTCAATATTTTGCAAGTGTTTATTATTATTTTATGAATGATGTCAAATATTTGTACTGTATCATTGGCTGATCTTTTTTTTGTTTGTTACGCGTTCAATTTTCTAAGAAAAAAGAAATCGTTACAGATAATAAGTCATATTTTCTCGTTGCGGATTATGATTTAATGCGAGTTTTCAATCATTACTAGAATTAAGTATACGATGAGATTGCGTTCCCAAATATCATAAGTATATAAATCAAATAAAATACTTAAAAATAAAGTCCAAAAGTAGTTCGAGAAGGTTTCATTAGTGTTCAGTATCAACAGTATCGGTTAAAAGTTTCGAACGGTAACCGGATAAGAGGCTTTCGAGAGTCGAGTCGGCTGCGGCTGCCAATCTGTATAATATTTGAGTTATATCAGGGTAAATTTACTTCACGAGTACTTAAATATCTAGCGCAGAGAAAACGTTGAACTTCAAGCCACTTTGAATGCATACGAATTCAGTTTGAAACTTGTTACGCTGCAGTTTTGTTTGAGACGTCTGCTGTTTGTGATCCGATGGATAAAATATTATGTTTCGTGACCGGAAATGGAGACGTGAATTTAGGTTAAATAACTACCTATTGAATAAGAATATTCTGAACAAACTTATTAGAATAACTATAACAAGTACTGACAAAATAGTGAACTTCTATATTACATCTCAAAAAAATATCTATTTGCATAGAATGTTAAGATATAATATAAAATACATGTACTTTTGTTTTTCTTAATTATATTTAAGCATAACAGCTTACGCATTTTTCTGTCACATAATTTCTTAGAGTATTATAATATTTAAGCATAATATTCTAAAGCAAAAAGTTTAAAAATGTATATGTATGACGCTTGCTCGGCTCGCTTTTTGGTTCGATCACGAATCGAACTTAACCTAACTGATAGATTAGTTCTTTCGTGGCTAGAGAAAATTATGCGAAAATTGCCTAAAAGATTATTATACTAAAGCGGTTATGCGAAATGGAATGAAAATGACAAAAAAACTTTATTAACCATTTACAATATTTAATTTAGGAATTGCCATTGGTTTTTGCACTGAGCTATGTTCGACCCGCAAATACCTGAGTGTTATTACCCAATATATTGTTCATTTTAATCGCTTATGTCGGGAGCTCGATCCAGGCGAATACAATTTACAAATACCAAATGTGATAATTTCATTAGGAATAAGAATATTATGCAAAAAGAAGGGATCACCTAATATTCTGTCTAACCATCGGTAGTGATTTTGTGGGAATAGCTATTGTAATACGAGTTTTTCAACAATTCCGTATAAATATCAATGTTTTTTGAGTAGATGTATTGTATATAATTTTCCCTTAAAGAAGCGGTGAAAAGTGTTGGTGCAACTTGCCCGGATGCAGCGTGACCTCGGTGGAGAGCGCGACCCCGTGCAGGTTGTGGGCGCGGCACCGCACCACCGCCGCGGCGAGAGCGCGCGCCTCGCCCTCGCGCGCCGGCGCCACCTCCAGGGTGCCGTTGTTGTACACACGTCTGTCAACATGGGCCTCTATCAAATAAACATATCAACCGGATCATATAGTTCAACCGGACGAATAGCTCTTCTGATTAATTATTTTTTTGCGACATTTTCAATTTCAAAATTCTTTGATTCTTTGACGTCTGTTACGTCAAAGAATTTTTCATGTTTCAATATCTGGATAGGATTTTTATTACATATATTTATTGGAGGCAGTTATTTAGTGGAAACAGTTGAAATTCTGATATTTGAATAAAACATTAAAGTCGAAATGGATAATAATACTTAAATGGCAGTCTCTTACTATGTCAACACTTAAATATGAAAATTTGTTAATACGCTTATTAAAAAAAACTTGTCTCATTTAATATGTTCAGCCATCTTCTAGCATTGATGTAAACGAATGTGTAAACAAATTACCTTTACTGTAAACATAAACCAGACCTTTATACCTTTTTAATCTTTATTCACACAAAACATTTAAACAATTAAACATTTTCCCTACCACTCGCTCATTACTTAATACATTATTTTTTTTGTCAACATATGCCCCGGTAGGGAAAGACACCTTCAAATGACCATACAAAAAAAAACGTCTTCAAATTACCATATAAATGCTCTGCGTATTATTATTTGAATAAAAAATATCTCCACACATTACATAGATATTGACAAAATTATGAAATAATAATAGTGTTTCAATTGCATGCCTAATTTTCTAGTGTAAACATTATGACATTTGGACCGTTTTTTTTTAAAGCCGCCGCTGATTTAATAGACGTCAATTAATTTTGTTATGTATCAAAAAAAATTGCCTCGAAATTTAAGACGATCACAACGCGTAGTGTAATTATTGTTATTACCTATTTGATCAGTCCTGTGTGTCCAACACAAATGTGTTAATGAGTTTTATATAAAATCACCCACTAAAATATTTATTTTGATTTACTTCTAATCCTACAAATAAATTTTGATATTCCCGATGAAATGACAGATAAATATCTGGCTGATCTTAGTTCAGCCGTATTGTACTCGTATGTAGAATAACATTGCGTTCAGTTACTCGGTTGATCGAAAATCACCCCGTCAATTGAATGGCACCAGTCAAATGAAAGGCTAGTCGCCCAATTGATCGGCTGATTCAAACTAATAATAATAATAATAATAATCATTTATTCTCTCAACACAAAATTATGTACATACATGTGAGTCTTAAGATTCTTAAAAACATTTTGTATCTTAATTTTGTGAGAGACTGGAGTTGAGTTATGAGGAGATATCTATATTTGAGTCTATATATATATGTGTGAACGCGTAAGTGTGTGTGTGTGTGTGTGTGTGTGTGTGTGTGTGTGTGTGTGTGTGTGTTTGTGTGTGTGTGTGTGTGTGTGTGTGTGTTTGTGTGTGTGTGTGTGTGTGTGTGTGTGTGTGTGTGTGTGTGTGTGTGTGAGTTAACACTGTGGAGACTGAATTTATTACTTGTGTATATAAAATTATTTAAAATGGTAAGTTGAGACCTTTTATTGTTTACTTTTTTTTTTCCAACCAAACAACCCCAATCCAAACATTTACTTAAGTGGGATAAGAAGGTTTTCAGTAGCTTGATAGTCAAGGGTTTTTAGGTATTAAGTCACAGTTGATTTGCAAGCGTATTTCGGAAGGTGGTAAATATTGAGGATTTCATTTAGTTTGTTATATAAATATGAGCCAAGAAAGCAGAAATAATGATGCGAGGCCGCAGTTTTTAATGATTTGCTGGGGCATACGTTGCTCTTTCTCCGTTTACTTCTGAGCAACATGGGATCATAGTGTAATTGTGAATGTTTCTTTTTTATTATAGATAGTATAAATATTTGCCTGACTGTCAATACATCCCATTCCCTAAAAAGATCCACTGTGGGATAAGGAAAAGGTAGAGATGCTGCCACTTTTAGTACAGCACGTTGTGCCCTCTCCACCTCGAGTATGTGAGTTTTTGAAACACTACCCCATGCCGATATGCAATACGCCAGCAAAGATTGGCAAAGTGAAAAATACACCATTTTAATTATGTGCCGGTCGGTAACATGTTTAAGTGCCTTAAAAATGTAAATTAATTTACGTATTCTGGTTACAAGAGATTCAATATGGAATTTGAAAGACAGTAGCTGATCTATTATTACACCGAGGTACTTTATGTTATCTGTTCTTTGTAAGACAGGACAGCAACATTGTGGTGGATTATTACTACATTTATAGATATGGATTATTAGTGCATATATGTATATGTTGTGTCAATGGAGGAAGTTGATTGGATTTTAATGAAAACGCAATGTATTTAGTTTTTGAGATATTTAAGGATAGCAGATTCTGTTTCAGCCAATCATCCACTCTGTTGAAACCTCTCTGGGCAGTGTTAAAAGTCTCTTTCCACGAGTCATCACTGAAGAATAACGTAGTGTCGTCGGCAAACGTGAATATTCTACCCCCACAAAGCTGTAACTGGCATAGGTCATTAATATAAACCAAAAATAACGTTGGGCCAATTATACTGCCATGGGGGATGCCAAATGTGACGTCAGCTTCGTCACTAATCCAGTGCTCTATTTTTACTCTTTGGGTCCTATTGGTTAGATAATCACATAGAAGTTTTAATGAAAGGCCTCTAACTCCAATCCTCTCCAACTTCATCAGGAGGCGAGGGATCGAAACCGTGTCGAACGCTTTTGCTAGATCAAGAAAGATAGTTAGACACTTTCTTCTGTCATCCATTGTTGATATAATAGAATATACGAGCTCATGTACAGCATCGTCTGTGGACTTTCCTTGACGGAAGCCGTATTGAGAAGATGAGAGAAGGTTTTTTGATTCTAAGAATTTGATTATTTATTATATATATATTATTGTTATTTATTATACGTTCTAGGATCTTGGAAAGTGCTGGTAGAATAGATATGGGCCTGTAATTATCAACACAGCTTCGGTCACCTCTCTTATGTATTGGCTTTATCAATGCTCTTTTAAAGGCTATAGGAAAGGTTCCGGTAGAAAAAGCCAGATTGCATATATGTGTCATGGGAGTGGCCAATAATTGTAAATATCTTTTAATTATTCTGCCAGATATCTGGTCAATTCCCACTGCACAGTTATCTCTAAGCCCGGCAAGAAGCTGCAAGATCTCGTCCTTATCCACCGGTAACAATGCAAACGAATCAACTGGCGGAAACGGTAAATGGAAGAGAGAAGATAAATGTTGGTTTCGGTGTTGAGATGGTATTTTTTCCGCTAAATTTCTTCCGACAGTTGCAAAGAAACAGTTGACTTCGTTAACACTGAGGTTTGGCGAATCTGAAGAAATGAGAGATGATGCATTGTCCACAGTTTGATTAGAACCGCTTATATTCTTAACAACCTCCCAGAGTCTTTTTTTGTTGTTTCTAGCAGTTTCAATCTGTAGCCTCTCATAACTCCTCTTAGCTTTCTTCAAAACAGTTGTGTAGTAAATTCTATAGCGTTTATATGTAGTTTTAATAACATCATTGTTTGGATCCTTTTTTAATTTCTTATGTAAGTTATCCCTATTACGCATACAACGAAGCAGTCCACTCGTAATCCATGGCTTTCTTATGACTTTAGGGTTAGAGACTCTTACCGGGGTTGAGCTATCTTTTATGGCTTTAGATAGGTATTCCACTAGCATATTGGCTGCTAAGTTGGCTGATTCACAGTCAAGGATGGAAGAAAAGTTAATGTTCAATATGGTTTTGTCTAAATGTTCAAAATTAAGTCGTTCGACTATCTTATGAGCAGAATATAATTTGTTATTTAAGTTAAGACTGATAGCTACACTGTCATGATCGGTAACAGATGATTCAAGTATAACACATGTGGCTTTTAATCTGGATTTTAATATAATGTGGTCAAGACATGTACGTCCATGTGTAGGTTCAGTGTGACCCGGTAGCATACCATGGCTGGCCAAGATGTTTAAGTATTCATTGCGATACTTATCTTTACTGTTTGGGCGTATATCAATATTGATATCACCACAAAGGATAATATTCTTAAAGTTAGATAAGTTTGTGAGGACCAAATTTAATGAATTTAAAAAGTTATTCAAGTTAGTAAACTCATAGTTATAAATTCATTTAATAAATATAAGGAATGCTGAATAAATTTTTATATCGCTATTTCGAATTCGTCATCATTCATTTTTATTATACCGTGAGGTTTTAGTGTCTTGTGTACATTATGATTTTATTATACACTAGCTTTCCACCAGCGTCTTCGGCCGCTTGGTCCCTAGGGAACTTTGAAACTTGTACTTATTATTGTTCAATATATGTATTATTTTGGTAATGACATGATTTATGTAAATGTCATTACTTATGATAAAAAGCTGGTAAGTTTCTTTCGCTTGTTCTTCTTGTCAGCTAAAAGACGTCCTGAACAAGTGGTAGGGGAAAAAATATTTTTGGACGATTCAAAAGTGCTTGTGACAAGCTTACTTGAATAAAAACATTTTCATTTCATTTCATTTCACTCTATTTAGTGGAATAAAATCCTATTATCTAAGTCAGCTAATACCCTATCTGTATACCAAAATTCATTAAAATCCGTTCGGTAGTTTCGGCGTGATTGGGGGACAAACATCCAAACAAAGAAACTTTCACATTTATAATAGTAATAGGATACCTTGTTTTTGTACCTTTACCTAAGAGAAAGTATTGAAAAAGAAAGCACTAAAAAGCACCTCCACTAGATGACGACTCTAGTAAAAGTTTATTTTTGCAGGAAACGAATAGACCAAAGATACTGATTTCCGTTCCTTTTAACTAACATATTAATATATTGAAATTTACAAAATTCGAAACTTAGATATCAATGCAAATACGAAAACATACAATTAGAATATGAGTTGCTTATTGGGTTTTGAAACTTAATTTACTTTTATACATGAAAGAAAACCTGAAGGGTTGTCTTGGAGAAATCTAGAAAGTACCGTAGCGACATTTAGTTTGATTTTGGGAACTAATGCTTTTTTAATACTTCATCATTTTGTTCTAGGAAAACACAATCTTATTACTTAAGTTAAAGCTGTGGATGTCCATCTTTTTACCCGATTGCGTGACGCAAAGGAGGGTAATGTATTTATCAGTCTATGTATGTATGTATGTTTGTTACTATGTGGTGTTCGAAAAAAATCGATGAACTATGTCAAGTGGGGTGTCGTTGAATAGGTATTTTAAAATGATATTTAGGTTCCTTTTATCATTTTTCATTTTAAATAATAGTTTAGGATATATTACGATTACAACTTGTTTAACAAAACAATCATTCTCGCTAATTTTCTTACTTATTGATTTAAGTTTTTATTTAAAGTATAAACGATATACAAACAAAAAAAAAAAATACAGTGAAAAAGCATGAAGAACAAAAATTTAAATGTTATCCATGGCCTTGTTAACGGAGCAATGGGTGTTATAAGGGCAATTGAGTGGCCAGCTCTTCGGAGGGACCAATTGGAACCCGAAGAATTGCCACAAGCTGTTTATATAGAATTTGAAGACAAAGAAATAAAAAACAGTGTTCCTGGAGTAGGAGTCAGAATTCGATGCACATCGCGGACAGGGTAAAACAGCGCGAAAAATGTTGCCATTGTATTGTGCTGGGGTGTCACTGTACACAAATTCCAAGGAACTACTTTGAACCGAGCTGTGGTTGACTTAAGTTCATGCATTTTTGCTAAAGTTCAAGCTTTGAGCCGAGTTAGGTCTCTAGAGGGACTAATCATCAGTAGTTTAGACCACCGCAAGTTACTTAATAATCCATATTAACTCCCTCAATGAAATGACTGGGTTGTGAAATTTACCACTTTATAACGAAGTCAACGAATCGTAAAAAGCAATAAAATAAAAATAAATAATTTAAAGAAAAACAAAAAAGCCGACTGCGTAAAAACGAATTTTTAATTTTTAAAAACTAAAAAGTAAGAAATAAGCTCAGTAGTTTAGAATTCTGTTAATGCCATTATTTTTCAAGTGTGAATCCCTGTCATGATGTTATTCTATTAAACATTTGTATATATGTATAAAGAAATTGATGTCATTATTTTATTTCGTTTAAAATAAGGTTTCGCTTACGTACGCTTGCATAAACCATTTATAATTCGTAATAACAGTTTTATATCAGGAGTAATTTCCTAGGCCGTCACCGCATAACTTAATAGGGAGGGAGTGCACATAAGCATACTATAGGTACACTGTCAGTAATATTTTTTTTTTTGGTTATGGGCTTCAATTTTTGTACTGCGTAATGATTCGTATTCAGTGACTACACGCCAGTGAATACGTGACATGTCGCAAAATTTATGCTTAGCAGAAGACCGAAAATATTTTGTTCTAGTATTAGCACAATGGGTCTTATGTTCAAATCGCTACGTTAAAACTTGTTCTTGTATTAATACTTTGAACCTCAGTAGGATATTTTGATAATAATCATTAAATTTATATTGTTTTTGCACAATAACTTTATTCGATTCACATGCCTTTGAAAACCATATCGATTCGTTAAATTAAATGAAAGTTTTAGGAAGAAGGCCTCAAGTATAGTTTTTTAATGACCCAAATGTAATAATAAACAAAATCATCATATACCTCCTTTTTATTCTTCTAGATCCTATTATAATCTTACAGATCCCATCTTATTTCAGAATGTTTATAGATATCTATAAGCTATACGCTACCGTTCACGCATCCGAGATGAACAAGAAGATGAAATTTCACTCGCCATTTCGTAGTGAGATTGCTAATGGCGGCAGTTTGTCGGCGAGAACAATTACTGCTGACAAATTGTGTTAGCTCTCATCGTGTTTAATTATATATTTTTTTACAGTGAAATATTACCGTCATTCATCATATTTTGTAGTGCGTCCCCAACTGTGAGTGGTCGTGTCGGTATAATTTGAAGTGTTGAAATCTTATTTTGAAATTTCATTTTTATCGGAGCCCCGGGCTGCACTCTGTCAAGGCGAGGAAATCCACCACGCGTGTCGCATGTGAAGTCTTCCTCAGAGGAGACATTGAAAAAACCTTTAGTAACTGGGATTTGATCGCCGGATTTATAAATGAGCTCTTGTGAAAAGTTATTTTAAAACATGATGACCAGAGAGCATAAGGTGGAATGGAAATGTTAAGTGTGTACAAGCAAAGCGTCTAAAAAGAACAATACTAATACGCCGCCCGTTCATCTAAGAAAAGTTTATAAGTTTTAGTGTTAGTTTTTAATGTTTCTGTAAATTTAAATAAATTAAATGATTTTGAATAAATAAATATAAATAGATAAAATATATAATATGGGACGACACATGATTAATTATTTTAGTTATTTTTATTAGAAAGAAACGAAAATGTTATATTTAGTAGAAAGAAACGAAAATGTTAACTCTTTTGGAGGTAAACTCGACGTTGTATTGACACAGGAATTGGTTGGTGCGGTATCGGTAGTAAATTCTGAACATGTCTCGTTCAACCAGACTTACATATATCATCCTCCACTTGACATCGCCATTACTTTTGAGACCACCAGCGTGGGTCCATGCAAGCGAGCAACATTGATGATAGCAGAGATTGGAAATTTAATGCTGTAGCTCAAATTGCTTTATGCCATTTTATAAATACTTTAGATTGGAACCGAGTATTACAATCACAGGATTTGAACCTTGGACTGGAATTGTTATATGATTCCCTTTATAATGTATTTGATGAACTTGTTCCAAGGAAACAAAGGTATAGTCTTGCACTACACGATATCTTGGCTGGTTTTTAGCGGATATTATTGGGGACATTAATAGTTTAAGGTCTTCAGGCAGCTTTGAGCCGAGTGTCACTTACCAAGGTCTTCAGTGTTCTGGTTCTAAAGCATGCCTTTGCGATGCACTTTTCAATCATATAGTACGACGACTCTATTTTAGAATCCGAACCAACCTCAATTCAAACTTATACACTTGCTGCTGTTAATAACTTCCCCCCTGCGGATGTTGAGACTGCAATTGGCGGCTTAAAATATAGTTGGTCCTCAGGACCTGATGGTGTTGCAGCAAATGTCTTATAAATGTGTATGAAATGGATTGCCATTATATGGAATGATATGGAAGATAACTCGAGTTATGCCAATTCCCAAAATAACAACAGGATGCTTGTTGAAGAGCATTTTCAATCAACAACATGGGTTTAGGTAAGGCATGTCTGTAAATTCTACATTACTTGAATCTATATCGGATTCGATGGTTAAAGAAAAGTAAGCCGACGTGTTGTAGGATCCTTCTAGCTAAACTCGATGCTATGGTTTCTCGTATGGGCTTATCAAGCTGTTAATAGATTATTTCAAAGATGGACAGTAATTTGTACAATACCCTGTGTCCGCTGTGACGCAAGGATCGGTACTCGGGTCGTTGTTATTCCTGTTACTTGTAACTAGTAAATGACGTGGTTGATGTAATAAAGTATACAAAGTGGTTTTTTTATGCGGACGCCTTTAAATTGTATGTAGAGGTCAACGACGAAAAAGATTGCACACTCATTCAGCAGGATGAAAACGCTGTACTTAAGTGGAGTTATGTAAGTGGTCTGGACATTAACTGTTCCAAGTGTAAAGTGTTATCCTTAAGCCGCAAACACAATACTATTATATACAGCTATAGGTTACGCAATGCTGTCATTGATCACGCAACCACAATAAAAGATTCAGCTGTGACCTTTGATTCTTCACTTACATTTAATGAACACATTTCTGCTCTCACTCGTAGCTGCTTTAGTCGATTGCGGTTTGTTCTGAGGAACTCACGTGATTTCCTAAATCCATATATCCTAAATTACTTCTACTTGGGTCTTGTACGGAGTTCTCTAGAAACGCGAGTATTTGGTATCCGCATGAGGCCAAATATAACCTTATGTTGGAAAAGGTTCAGAAAGCATTTCTTCGTTATATATGGTTATTATACTTTTATGTATTCTTGCTGGGGATTCAACTGCCATAGAAATTTTAGGCACTGTTATGTCGCATGCACCAGGCACTTAACGTACTTCTCAATGATTTTCCTCATTTGGATATTTTTTATATAATCCTAAGTGTATTATTATGAGATTATAATAAGTGATTTAATATACACGTAACAATGTAATTGGGTTATCCCGTTTAGTTATGCTAAATAATAAAATATTTTATGGAAAATTAAAACAACATGCGTTGAAAAGAAAGCAAATAGGAGAAATATCAATACATTTACTTTTTTTTACATAAAACATCTTGTTTTATTCAACTTTCAATGCAGTTGTTTTTTTCTCAATTATTCACAAGCTCTGCTTTTTTTACTTGAAAATATTGGCGTGAAAGTCCACGTCGGGGACTTCAATTATAAGATGGGCGCTCTCACCTGATTCCCGGCCGATCGTCAAGCGGTGAGTTGTCGTCGGTTATCCACGTGATGGTAGGCGGCGGGTCGCCGGTGGCGGCGCACCGCAGCTGCGTGCCGGCGGCGGCCGCGTACCGCACCACCGCGGGCGGCTCCGACACGAACCGCGGCGCCAACCGGGCAGGCGTCCCCCCCGCGCCCGCACCCACCGCTCCTGCCTTATGCGAGCCTGCTGCTGGCACGGGCACATACACTCATACCTTCATGAAAAATGCTAACAGAAAATATCACTAGAAATGGCATTTGAGCCATATTGCACATACATAATATCAATAAATGGAAGATAACCTGGTAAAAAAGCTGCCTTAATAAATATACATCGACACAGGTTTTTTTTACTGCGCCGCAGATCTTTTATAAAGTTAGTTTTGTTAATGTTATTCATCGCACGATTTTAACTTCCGCGGGGTTAACTGTGGACACAAATGCCGTCAAACTTTCCAGATTCATGAAGGTTTCCTTTGCAAAAACTCGGAATATGTCCCACGATACGAGCCACTATGAGCGCCCGCAAACAAGGAACGAGTTTAAGCCACTTAAAACTCTAACTAAACAAGCGGACTTTTAAAATCGTTTGACCTATAAAGTGCCAGAATCGTCGCGGCGATCCTTGTGAATCGTCCTCAAATGTGTAATTCAGCCGAGTTTGTTGGCAGTTGTTTGTCATCTAAAGTTTCAGTGATACTTTCACAATTAACTCCACAGGGAGGGAGCGGGAGTATCGTTCGCGCTGTCAGGAGCGCTCGCTACGCACGCTTACGCTCTTTGTTGTCAATTCGTAAGCGAAATTTCAATTGTTGCCTGTCTTAAGCATAGAATTACCGTAGGAAACTTGACGAAATGAAATTATCACAATACATTGCTTTAATGTTTTCGCTCTCGGCTTCCATTGTGTTTGATTCGACATTCAAAATTAAATGTGAAGGAAGGGCTTTATTCAAAATTGGAAAGTTTTGGGAGCACCATATTTTTTCATGCTTGCAACATGAGATTTCTCTTAACCTTTTCGATTTATTGTACACTTCAACGGAAACATATAGTTGAAATTAAACACTCAAATATTGTCTGATGATATATGTAAATAGGTTAGCTCAGAAAATAGTTTCATTAATAAACTTTCATTTAAGTTTCACTACTCACCTGCAACCAGCAGCCACCCGGCGACTAGCCACATACCATCTATGGACAAACACAATACTGTATTCCAACACTAATACAATTATGTATTATAAATAAATATAGCAGTCCGCGTCGTACGGCTACTGATCATGAATACAGTTGATATTAATGTCACTTTGTCCGTAAGCATATGATCAATTGCGGCCGGTTTCTGAATTGAGAAAAGTATAAAATGTCAACTGAGTATTATCAATCACTTAAGTTTTTTACGTTTTACATGACAAAAGGTCCTAGTTTTATCAAACTGCTATAGGCTGATCATTAAAAGAATTAAAATCAGAAATGAAAACCTGTTTAAGCGTAAAATAGTTTAAGTACGGTTTGAGACGTGCTTAACTTTAGATTATCTAATCAGAAAACGGGTCTTACTACTTTCAAAATATGTTGTTTTGTTTGAGTAAAGCGTCGGCGGTGGTTATATGCTTTCTGCTTTTTGTTTGGAATAGAATGACTGAGGGTGTAATTATACAAATAGTTTCATAAGTTGTTTATTTGTGTGCACTACAATGTTCCTATTTCTGTTCAAATGAGTTTGGCTGACTGAGTTACTAAGGTGTATCAGGTATCTAAGATTAATGTTGGTTAAGGGTGATTAGGACACCCTCATTAGATATTTTATTACAAACGAATATTTCCAATTGTCTTAAAAATAATTCGATATGCATTACATAAATTTTCTATAAAATATTTCAGACTAACCGGTCATTAGAGTAACTCTAATTAGAGTAAGGCTTTAGTTCGCGGTATTATTGGTAGTGGGGTGAATTCGCGGAAATCTTCCGCTTTGATACAACCATCATTACTGTTCTTCAAAAATAATTAATCCTTGAGTTCACCCAGTACCTATTCAATTAAAAGAAAAGGATTACAATGTCTGTATAACATCCCACTAAAAGAAAGTAAGGAACTATTAACACAACGAATGAAAAAATTATTAATAAATAAAACAACTTGTAGCTTGCAGCGATGCGAAAAGCGAACAACAGAATAATATTTTATTAAGAAAACATGACATATAGACTTCTTCCTTCCAGACAACACACACAGTACATCTTATTGGCAGTAGATGGCGTTGGTGGTTTCGTTTGATGTAAAAAATATAAATAACACCCCCACTACATCACATGAAACCATAAAAAATAAATTACATATTACAAATTAACAAGTCCTAAGGCTTTAACACATTGGTAATGCTTAGTTGTACCAAGTGATTTTGTAAAGACATCAGCTGGCATATCATTGGTATACATATATTTAATGTTTATAACATTATTATTGACAGCATCTCTCAAAAAATGATAACGAATATCTATATGTTTACTTTTTCTATGTAAAACATGATTAACAATAAGTTTTTGGGCACTCTGGCTATCATTGTATAAGGTAATAGGACAAATATCCTGATTAGTGACTTCAGACAATAATACTCTTAAATACATGGACTCTTTACATGCCTCAGCCATAGACATGTATTCAGCTTCCATGCTAGATAATGCTACTGTATTTTGTTTTCTGCTCTCCCATGATATGAGACCCCCTGACATCATAAAACAATACCCTGTATATGATTTCCGATCAATATAATTATTAGCCCAGTCTGCATCAGCAAAACCTGACAATTCAGAGTTACCTTTTACATACCTTAAACAATAATTTTTAGTTCTCTTTAAATATCTAAGAATGCGCTTAGCATAATTCCAGTGAGTGCTATTATGACAAGAATTAAATTGACTTAAAAAACTAACACTAAAAGCTATGTCTGGTCTTGTCAATACAGACAAATACATGAGGCTACCTATTAATTGTTGATATGGAATATTAGTATCATTAACATTGTTATTTTTATCAATATTTAGTTTTAACTCCATAGGTGTACTTGCCTCTTTGCAGTTTAACATGTTAAATTTAATCAATAATTCCTCAATATATTGTTCTTGGTCTAAAGTACATATATTATTTATATTATCAATATTTACTCTCATTCCCAAGCATTGCCTTACTTGACCAAGATCTTTTATTTGAAATTTAGTATTCAGAACTGAAATTAAATTATCTGTCTCTACTTTACTGCTTGAGTATACAAAGAAATCATCCACATACAAAGCAATAATAACTTTTACATTATTGTGAAATTTAGTAAATACACATGGTTCTATACGACTTCTCTTAAAGCCTAACTCTGTCAAACATTGATCAACTTTATCATACCATAACCTTGCTGACTGCTTTAAGCCGTAAATGGCTTTATTTAATTTGACAATTTTTCTGTTATTATTTCTATCTAAATTAATTTGTGGATAAGTCATATAAATATCTTCTTTTAGAATGCCGTTTAAAAAAGCAGTTTTAACATCCAAGTGAGTAATTTTTAAATCTAATTGCACAGAAAGTGCAAATAACAATCTTAAAGTACAGTGACGTACAACAGGTGAGAATGTCTCATCATAATCTATTCCTGGTTTCTGGATGAAGCCCTTTGCCACTAAACGTGCACGATACCGAACACTATTTTCACTATCGAACTTTCTTTTATATACCCATTTACACTGAATCAATGTTTTTCCTTGAGGCACTTCACTCACTACTGCCCAGGCATTGTTCTCTTCAAATGCTTGAAGTTCCTCTTCCATCGCAGTTACCCATTTGTCTTTTTCGGGGCTTCGTAGAGCTTGTTGGATACTGACTGGATCACTATGACTCTCAGCATTCGACTGTATACACAAGTTTGAGTAACCGTAACGCTGTGGTGGTCTTCTCATCCTCTTTGGTTCTTCTAGGGGTGGAATCTCATCTACATTCTGCAATATAAGATTATTAGTCTGATTAGTATTATTCATCTGGTTTATTTCCTGTTTTGGTTTTGTACTATTGACTGTATCAATAGACTTATCCATTTCCTTCTTTACTTCTTTTGTTTCTGAGATTTCCCCCACTGAAACTGATATCCTTTCATCTATGTTACTCTTTAAATTTTCTTGGATTATGACATCCCTGCTTACAGACACACAATTCTTAACTGGGTCATAAATCCTATACCCTTTGACATTTTCGGCATAACCAACCAGTATATGTGGTTTAGACTTAATATCCCACTTAAGTCGTTTTTCTTTTGGGATGTGCACCATGACCTGGCTCCCAAAAATCCGAATGTGACTAAGATTTGGCTTCTTTTTAGTCCATAGTTCAATCGGTGTAATATTTTGTAAACCTGATGCTGGTGATCTATTTCTAAGGTAAACAGCTGTATTCACCGCCTCAGCCCAAAACCTTTTGTCCAGTTCAGCATCAAACAGCATACAACGAGCCCTCTCCACTAGAGTTCTATTCATGCGTTCACTGACAGCATTCTGTTGTGGGGTATATATATTAGTCTTTTGATGAAGTATACCAGCCTCAGCCAAATAACAGTCAAACAATGAATTACAGAATTCAAGACCATTATCGGTTCTAAATATTTTAATTCTCTTATCCTGTTGATTTTCAACTAAAGCTTTAAAATCTTTAAAATACTTAAGAGCTTCATTCTTGGACTTCAAAAAATAAACAAAGGTCATGCGTGTGTAATCATCAATGAAAATCAGAAAATACCTGCAGCCACCAATTGAAGTCACCTCCATTGGTCCACACACGTCTGCATGAATTATATTAAGTACTTCACTGCTTCTTGTACTGACGTGGTCAAACGGTAATCGTGACTGCTTACCTTGGCAACACACAACACATGTACCTTTATCAACAACAGCTTTATCCTCGAAATCCATACTCACAACTGCACCATTTTTCATTTTATTAAGATCATTACTGTTCAAGTGGCCCATTCTTCGATGCCACAGTTCACTTTTCACGCTGTCTGATGTTGTAAACAAACAGTTGTGTTTATTTTCCACATTAAGTTTATAAACACCATCAACTAATTTTGCTTCTCCAACCAGTTGATTTCTGCTGTTATAAATATAGCAACAATTTTTCTGAAAGTCCACTCTGTTTCCATTTTGAATTAATTTACTCACAGATAATAAATTCGTTGCGATATTGGGCACACATAACACGTCTTTTATTGTAATATTATATTTGCATTTCGACGTGGTTGTAATAATATCAACATCACCCGAGCATAATACAGCCATCACTCCATTGTTAGCAGCTGTAATCTCCCTTACACTCGTGTTTTTCGATGTGTTCCGAATATTTTTTACATTTGAGGTTATATGCACACTTGCACCAGAATCCAAATACCAATCATTTTTCTTGAAGGTTCCACGCAAAAACAATGCAGAAAAAACATTAGAATTGTTTTTGTTTGTGTCTTGAGCTTGTGTACACTTATTTTTGTAGTGCCCTATCTGTTTACAACGATAACACCTGATGACTTTCTTTTTGCTATTGTTTACATTTGACATATCGACATCTTTGAATGCATTTCCGGTTTTACTGAATGGTTTATGATTGACACGTTGACGCCCTCTAGTGTATAAAGCAGTAGTTTCCACTGAATCTTCGTTTCCGGTCAAATCTAATAATTTAGATTTTACAACATCCGCCGTAATGGCGATGCCGGAATGTTCAATTGCCATTAACATTGGAAAATATTTTTCGGGCAATCCTGCCAACATTAAACAGCCAATCCACTCATCATTCACCACAAAACCCGTTCTGGATAATTTCTGCCCGGTTTCTATTATTTGAGTGATATAACTCGTCATAGAATCAGAAGTTTCGAGACGTATTGAAATTAAATTTCTCAATAACATGATTCTTCTCGAAAAACCGGCGTCATCAAACATCTGCTGTAATTTCTGCCATAGTTGTTTAGTGGACTTAACATCTTAAATGTGCACGTATAACGAAGGATCTATAGTTAGAATCAACTTCGCTTTCGTCATGGCGTCCTCCGTAATGGTTTCGCCGACCCCCTCAGTCTTGACAAATTTGAGCTTTCCTTCGAGTACTAGTAGGTTTTCAGCAGCAAACGCCCACTCGCTATAGTTTTCTCGA